CCCCCGCCTCCATTGTAGTCCTTCTGTAACATAGTGACATAACTACGTAACACTCCTGCATCTCTTGGCTTGCGCTCCAACAAATTGTACGTGAGTAAGGGGCACTCATCTCTAGTAGTTGACCAATCACAACAGATCCGGCCAGCTAACCAATCAGAACAGACTGGGCTCTGGTTTCAGACAGAGGGTGAAAAGAGGTGCTGCAGCACAGGCAGTGTGAGACAAATAAAGAGCTTTTTGAACATTAAACATTTAACAGGTCACAGTACAGGCACACAATACAAATTAAACCTGAAATTAACTCAAACGGGATCAAAGTTATTTCTCTGTAATGCAACTTTTTTAAGGAATTCTTTATTTTAGAGCATGGTATGCATCCTTTTCATCACATGGGTGGTCATTTTGCCACAACCTGCTTTTTTTTCGGGGCTTCTATGTCCAGATGAATAGTCCACAGGAAAAACGGATTTTATTAATCAACTCTCTGATGCCGCAGTATGAGTGAGCTGTTATGTAATCAGGAGGCTTTGTCACTCGCTTACATACAGATAGTTGTGCTTTTGTACTTGTGAGGACCTTCACTGACATAATGCATTCCTTAACCCTGAGCTCAGCTATCACAACCACATGCTGGAACACGGCTGTGTCCGAAATCACTCACTCATTAATTTCTCCCTAATCAGTATTTATGGAGCTCTATGTAAAGGACTTTATAGTGAACTCATTGCCAAATAAAAACACTTTTGGGCACTTGTCGCAAAATGAAGACGTGCCAGATAGACAGTGGATCATCCATGACAAATATGGAAATGTGACAAATACATATCAAAATCTATATTTGAAAGTTGCCTCTGAGAGAGATATTCTGAGTGATTTAATTCACCTGGTAAGCATAGATGCATCGTATTTATCTATAACTTTTTTTGTGTCAGAGAGAACAGAGTAGCGTGGTATCTTGTTTTCAATCTGGGGGCAGTAGGTGTATTTTTCTAAACAATGCTTTGCTAAAATGATTTCATGCCTTCAGAGCAATACATGATTGTAGGCTATTATACATTATATCATGTATTATAGCTGGTTAGTGAACATTGTTGTAAAATACCTTTCATGATCTATTGTGGGATTTTAGTCAGTCCACCAAGTAGCGTATTATAATTCTCACCATACTTCTAGTGGCAAAATCACTATATAGTGAACCATATAAAGTTTAAACTTGGCATATTTTTACCCTCAGTTTTACATATAATTAAATACAATGTAGAGATTTGTTAACGTTAACTAGCCAATATATGAGTGGTTTAAAGTATAGACTAAAAGATAATTTGAATAGCAGTCAACATGTCAGACCTGAAACCTGATTGAGTAAATCATTTGATTGAAACTAGCAAAACATTCACAGGACTTTCAGCTCCAACTGAAAAATAAATGTATAATTAACTGATGCAAACCAATCTAGGGCCTTTCATTTGAGTTGAGCTATCATTAAGTTATGAGGTACACCTGCACTTTAATATTTTTGCAGCTCATAAGACCTGATATCTGCTTCAATAATGTCCTTCGGATAAGGTTTGGATGAGCAGTTACATTTGAAGCAACACCGGGGTACTAAAAAAACTGATTTTTTCTCCCATCATGCAACATTTGTAAGATAAGAAACTTTTAAACACAAGGAGTTTAATTTCCTAAGCGGAGATGCCATCTTTAATCAATTTGAGCTTTTCACTAGTAAAACAAGCTCCAATGATTCCACTCACAATGGTGTTGTGTGGCTGTTTGCTAATGACAATAATCCTTGTGTACAGTGCTCTACACACATGGGTCTGCTTTCATGAAAGAGGGTAGTGATTGTTTGTGGGCTTCCTACTTGAAGTTCACATATTGTTGCCACTTGTTGAAACGAGCTAAGGTGGTGTCTACCATTGGCAACATGTTTGGATAGCACTAGTATAATTCATATATCAATCCTGTTGAATGATGTTTTGTTGCTCTTTAAATATTCAAATGAGAAGACAAGGGGAAATAAAGCCAAGCCTCTGCTGGAGAATAGGCCAGTTTGTGAACCATTTCCTAATTGTTAATGAGGGGCTCCAGGGCAGCATGCCAAGGCTGGAGGGCCAATAGCATAGGCCTATTTGAACAGTAAAGGGGGGGCAGAGAGGGAGAAGGGGCTAGCTGTGGGGACTCTGTCACTGAGGGGACCCCTAAACCCCATCGGCCCCCTCCTACCTGGTCCACAAAGTGCTGGAGCGGGCAGCTGAGAGTGACTGTCACTTCCACCCGGGGCTTTAATGAGGGTTCTACTGCTGCTTTAGGACTCTGGTTAGCTTGTGTGGCTTACTATCTGAGGAGCAAACCCAGGGTCAGCTGATTTGGAGAGTTTAGAGGGGGGTCACCGAGTTATTAAAGATGTCCAACAACAACAATAACCAAGAGGAGAAGGAGGAAAAGGAAGAAGACATGGAAGAGAAAGGAGAGGAGGTCATGGTGAAAATCCCCCCACCTCCATCTCCTCCGGAGGTCAACGAGAAGGGTCCGACTGAGGAGGACAAGCCGGACCCCAAACCCTTGCCCAACGGGCACCAATGCCAGCCTATGAACCGCAGTATTTTTCCTCTCTCCGCAGTTTCACCGGCAGCCGAGAGGATCCGCTTCATACTCGGTGAGGAAGATGATGGCCCGGCACCCCCTCAACTCTTCACGGAGTTGGATGAGCTGCTGTCGGTGGATGGACAGGAGATGGAGTGGAAGGAGACGGCCAGGTAAGGACCACAGTCTCACACTCAGGTTCGAGCTGTCAGTATTCCATTTTGAGGGACCCTCTTCATTTATTTGTACTCGATCATTTAAGAAATCACAAACTAAATTCTTTATGTCAATCTTATTTTGAAGAACATTTATTTTAATAAGTTCACTTCAAACATTGTTTGGAGCTTTGGATGTTTTTTTCAGTCACACCAGTGGCTGAAGAAAGATCCTTGAACTTATTCTTACATTAGGGAATTTGCTGTCTGCATTGAATTGAAAAAGCGAGCACACAGGGTTCCCCAGGTCTCTCCTGTGTGGCCCACTAGTGGGAGAGAGATGGGCTCATTGTTTTATAAATCATTAGCGCTGGATGAGTGAAGCTCTCTCAGGGGGAAACTGGATCCCTGGGCTGGTGTTTGAGGCTCCACATGAGTTGATCTGTTATCCTAACCTCTGACCAATTGTACTGCTGAAAAAGTTACATTTTGGTTCACTCTTCGTCAAATGACTTGCAGCAGAATTGTACTGAAAAACTTAGCCAAGTTATGATGATGCATTTGTCCTGCCCCTGATGCACATATGTGATTGATATTAGCTTGGTAAAACATTTGCTTAGATATACTTTAACTGCGTCACTATGTCAACATTCAAAAAGTTACATTAGAGCTTGACATTCAGGCAAAAATACAACCCTTTAGGGATAGTATTTACCTTAGTTTTACCTGGATTGGATTAGATACACGTCAAAATGTAAATTAATTGAAAGTGCGTCATAGCATTTGACACTTTTGGCTTGAGAATAAGACTTCTGGTCATGTAATGGCATCCATCTAGGAAACAACCTAACTATCGAAAACAGACATAATGTTTTTCATTGATTGATTCCCAGGTATGAGGTAGAATTGAGTGTCATATTTCCCAATGTACAATATTAATTATACAGGGTAACACAGTTACAAGAAATACATAAAACAAGTAGAAACTATCAAATAAGGTTAAAGGGAAAAATACAAGCTTTTTCTTCTCTAAAGGGGAAGTTTCTCTGCAATCAAAAGTTTCAACTGAAATACCACAATACAAGTGTACACAAAATCCTCTATTCAAGAGGATCAGCATGACTGAAAAGGTTGAAATAAGAGGACAGTTCAACCCTTTAAATCATGTCAGTTACTTATTTAAAGCGTACATTGCTTATTAAAGTTGACATAAATCCATCCTGTATCTTAATTCAAAATTATTATTCGGCAAATAACTGCAGAGATTAAGACCCGTTCCAATGTCTTACCAAGTGCACTCTGTGGACCCAAACTGAATAAAAGATCTCACAAGTGCTGGGTAATGCTGGCCGTCTGCCAAGTGCAACTTTTGCAGCCAAAACTGGCCGAATAAAACCCTGGCATAAAGACAACTGCTCAGTACTGGTTTAGTTTCTCATCTCCCTGACTCTGAGCGAGGGGGGAATGGGAAGTGATTAAAGAGATACATGAAGGAGATAGAAATGACAGTGTGACAGTCTGGATTCAAAAAACATTATCTGAAATTATTCTCACCTGTTCATCACACAACACATTTAATAACAAAAAAATGAAATTAATTACAAAGAGGCAGTTTTGAAGTGTTATTATTCAAGTAGAAGGGGAATGTAGTCGTGGTGTAGTTTCACCATTTACTTGACCAAAATGCCTTAGAATATACACATTTGAAAATGTATCATCATATTTAAAAATGTTTTACATAATCTGTTTAATACTTGAACCCATACAAGATCATTTTAAGATATACTTTGGATGTTATTTCCAATAGTATATGGACAAACATGACACATACACACTGCATTTGTGTCATATTTAATGTATTATGTGGTGAGTTTCCAGGTTATATTGGCTTCAACTCTATCAATCCAGCTTACATTTACAACTCCATACATGTAATATAACATAATTCCCATGTCATGCTTTTCCGGTTATTACCCGTCCCCTGTGTTATGTAGCTTTTGCTGCATGTAAACGGTCTGCAGAGTCACAAACCCTCAAAGTACACCCTGTAGCGAGTAAATCTCTAACACAGAAGAGACCTGTCTATGCGGCCCCAGAACGCCTTGTTGGAGATTTCTCTTTTTCCATTTGTTTCTTCTGGGAACCAAGTGACGTAACAACAACCCAATGGACCCATTGGTCCAAATGGACCAATCCGCGGAGCCGTTACGTTGTGTCCATGGACTTCCTCACACACACACACTCAATCTTTTCTCAGCNGTGTGTGTGTGTGTGTGTGTGTGTGTGCGTGCGTGTGTGTGTGTGTGTGTGCGTGTGTGTGTGTGTGTGTGTGTGTGGCACACACACACACGCACGCACACACACACACACACACACACACACACGCACACACACACACACACACGCACGCACACACACACACACACACACACACACACACACACACACACACACACACACACACACACACACACACACACACACACACACATATACACACACACACACACACACACACATATACACACACACACACACACACACTTTTCACAGGCTACAACTAGCTTAAGTCAACACTACTTGTTTAATAACACCTTGGGTAGAATAATTTACAAGTACGTTTCACACATTTAGCTGACATTCATAACCACAGCCATTTAAGCTGATTACAGTAAACAGTGAAATTAAGCTTTAAATATCTATATGGGGATAATTGCATGCAAACAAAAGCAAGCCTTGCAAGGAGAGTCACTGCTGTATTTCTTATATGGGCATGCAGTTAAATAAAAAAGCAGTAAAGGAATACAGCAACAGCAATGCTGTGTTGTTTTTTAACTTCACTAATAGCGCCATTAAAGTATAATTATGATCAAATAACCCACAAACACACATTTTCATTCTTCTCTATGAAAACAATGGAAAGACATCCTGATGAAGAAAATACATAATCTCAGCAGAATTAAAGGGGCCATATAATATGCATTTTCAGGTTCATATTTTTATTTTGTGCCTCTAATGTGACATGTCTCCATGCTTTAATGTTCAAAAAGCTCTTTATTTTTCTCATAATGCCTGAGCTGCAGCACCTCTTTTCACCCTCTGTCTGAAACCAGAGCCCAGTTTGCTCTGATTGGTTAGCTGGCCGGCTCTGTTGTGATTGGTCAAGCGCTTAGAGATGTCCCGCCCCTTAGCCCATCAGCCTATTAACTACAATGTGTTGGAGCGCTAGCCAATAGAAGCGTGAGTGTTACGTAATAAGAAGTAAACAAAGGAGTCCTATGGAGGTGTTTCAGGCAGGGGGGGGGGCTGAGAAACTCTCCAACTTTGGGATTTTAGCCTTTGCAGACCATTTACATGCACAAAAACCTATAAAACACAATTAAATATGTGAACATTTGAAATATTAGAATAAAATTAGAAAGGAAATTATCTTAAGGTTCTTGTAGCACAGTGTAGGGAGGTACACGGTCAAAATGTTATCCAAGATAAATATTTGAATTGTTAGGGAAAAACTGATGTTACCTGTCCAGAAAATTCAAGCTGGACACAAGCACCTTGTTGGTGATATTACAAAAGGTGGGAGGGTGGGTGAGAAGGGTTAGGGGGTGAGACTCAGAGCAGACTGAAAGCAAAGAGGGCTGAGAGCAAGCACGAAAAGGAGGGATAGAGATGAAAATCCCATCGTTCAAACGCAATTTCAAAGCTCTGTGTGCACTAGCCAAGAGCCATGGGCATACAAAGAGGACTTTGTCCCAGAAGCAGAGGCTCATGGGATAGGGGATGGAGGAAGAATGCCCGCTGCCCGGCAGAAAGCTTAGTGTGACTGCCACTAAAGGCCTGTTTAGTCCCACTCTTGACATGCATCCTACACGAATACCTTCCATCCCCTCTGACCTTTGTGGAAAAACTCAGCACAGTGTAAGGCTAAGGGGTCTAATAGCACGCTCATTGTCTGTGACTGTACATGCAATAATAATGCAACTCAGCATCGCTCATTCATAGCAAAGAGAGGATCACTGAGTGTACAGGAAATGTTTTCCGTGCCACAAAGTCTGAGGTTCAGTATGCAGGGCAGCTAGCTCACAAGCAGAAAACAGGGATTGGCTTGAATGCAGAGTAAGAGCCAGAGGGTGATTCATTGAAAGCACACTGTTTATACTCAGACCATCTAGCTCTGGCATGTTGTTGTGATAGCTGAGCAGAGCAGGTTCTGATGAGAACCCAACAAATACTAGCTGGGGGACACAACCTGAAATGAAATGACCTCTGTCTGCAGGTGAACTCAATGCACAGCCACATGTTCACTGTGCGTTCACTGTAAACAGCCCAATGCACATGATCACAGCAGGGTTAAGTGCGATTCTAAGTTTGTCTGGAAAAGGGCATGATGCACTGGTTCTCCAGAAACTCGCAGAAATATTGCCATTATTCCTATAGTCAGGGACACATGCAGGCACTTTCCCAGTAGCCACCACCGCATCAATAAATGAGCTGTGAGTTGACATATGATGAATTTAGAAAATTTCACATGCAAGTGGCAGAGGTGCACAATGACGGATTCCAATTAAAAAAAAAACAATGTCATATTTTTCTTTTTTTTGTTGGATCAATGTAGCCAGGCCCTTTTTATTTTTCTATCTTAAAACATACTTGCCTGCCAAAGCTAACATTGGTTGATCACTCAGTGAAAAGATAACTTACTTTTTATTACAACAAGGTAAAACCTTGTTTTATTGGTACTGATCTGTACACCATATCAATGAAGTGTGTATTTTAGTGGATACTTTATTGTTAGATAGAGTATCTTCAGGCCAGTGTCAAGACATATCAAAGAACGTGTTCAAAGAATCATAGCAATTTGGGTGAAGTAAATTAGTGGAGGCAGGTTGAATAAAAGTAGTAAAAGACTAAACTCCTATGAGATATTAGATGTGATAATGCGTATAATCCTTACTACAGTGCAATTTCATCAAATGTACTGTCTAGACTAGACTGAGAAATAAGTTTTGTCCTTTTCTCTTTAAAC